TACTACGTCCGGCTTATCCTGCAGCCCTTACTCAGACCAAAGTCTGGCGGGATGGAATGGTTGTGTACAAGATACACACTTAAAACGCTCAGACCAGGCATATTACAGACCGTAACTGATAGGGGGTTGCCTGGTTAGGGACCAGCCCTTTGTGTCAAAATCCTTTCTTTATCCGAATGGTGCAAAGCCAACAGATCTCTAGGTGACTAGCTGCAGGCGTGTAGAAACACTCTCTGCCCGTGTAGAAACACTTGCGTTATGTTGTTGTTGTTGTCTGTTTGCTCAATCAAATATTAATTTGTGAGCTCCTCTTTTAGGTTAACTTTACACTGTGGAACTTTTTGATTTGCCGTGTTATAGATACCTGATTGCCTTTTTTCACACTCGAATCAGATTCCAGTAGAAATGATCTACAACCATATAAAAAATCAAAACGACTCTCCCTGCAAACCAAGTCTGTTTCACATTCTAGGTTTTCAAAGAACAATGTTTTCCAAAAGCAGGGGGGTTTTGTGCAGCACGCCTCCCATCAAGCTGTCTTGACAACAATTACTAAAGTTTTTAATTAGCCTCTTGTTATAATTCATTTTATTAATTTTCTAAATCTCAGCCCATGAATTATTAAAGGCGGCTCTGTAATTGTATTTGCAGCCATCCTTTTGTAGTGCACGTGATCGAAAACTGCTCTGCAGACCCATCGCTCTTCTGGCATAGGGCCCATTTATACTGAGGATGGAGAAGGGGCCTAGGCAGCAGTGAGCTCTAATATTTTATCAACTATTAAATAACATAATTACTGATAATAATATGCTTGTCTCGCAGGTGGAAATAGGTTCCCATGCGAATTGGAATTCTGCTGCTGCTATTTTAAAGTCAATTAAGCTTTTCTCCTCTTTTTGAATCAGCAGGTAAATATAATAAAAGCTTAAAAAAGACATCGGCTGCAAAGCAAGACCTAAATAACTGGAGGGATTTAAAATCGTTTGGGAAAAGTCGGAATAACAGAGGGCAGCAGCAGTAGTATCAGCTTTATGCGATCAAGTCCGTCAGAGTTAAAATAATTATCTTTCGACAAATCTGTCTCTGTTTGGAGGGAAGAGGGAATGCGTGGGGGCGAAGGGGGGGTATAGACCATAAAAACGGTGCTGTAGGACACTTCATTCTCCTTCTGGGGAGCCTTTTACTTGTTGAACCAGGACCGAATTAGTCTTAATATCACAGGAGAGTAAAAATCAATACTATCATGGCAGCGGATGTCTATTATTCATTTATGATGGTCTAATCTAAGTTGAAAGCAATTGGAGAACAAGTGTTAAACAGAAATTCCAGAAGTCAGTCTAGGTTTTAAGGAGGTGGCTGGGAAATCAGACCAGGAAATCGACAAGATATAGCAAATGTGGAAAATATGAAACTAAAGAGACTACGGTACCAAAGTTTCCTCACCCTTCCACGGCAGGGGCCACAGGTTCTGAACTGGATAGAAGTTCTGAAGATATTAGGTTGTATATTCTAGAATAGATCCGCAACATTTTCCAGCATGGAGAGTAATTCTAACTTTTTAGGAACAAAGTTGAATTCCCCGCTCAGGCGATTACATATTTATTGACAATATATTGGAATGAATTTTCGCCCTCTTCAGCCTTTTTAAGAAGCAAAAGTTTAAACGATCCTTGTGACCTGTTTCCCTCCACCCCCGGAGCTATTTTCAGTGAGTTGGTTAAAAAGGCCTCATTGGTACTTGGGATTCTGTCGTGAAATGTTCAGATCCATTCAACAGAAAGCAGAGCATTCTGGTTTTGCACAGTTTCCTATCATAAAAAATAGGAAACTCTGCAAAGCTGTTCTTTTTTTTATTTTTCATTATCTGTTTTATTAACATAGTATTTTCTTTGTACTCGATAAGGATTGTACTTAATACAAAACAAACTTCTTTACTTTTCAATACATACATTGGTCATTGTTGTATAATACAAACGTGTTGTCCTCTAACATTTCAGTTTTGGGGAAGATTAAAAAAAAGTTTGTAATTTATTTTATTTGTTCATTCCTGACTCTCCAAAAATGATCCGGTAATACTTTTCTATAAAATAATATTTTTTTACAAATGCATTTATTAAAAATTCTGATGACATTTCAAGTTAATAACACAGAAACAAGTCAATTTCCGGTGGAGGAGATCTATTTTTTTAAAAAATACCTTTAGTGCTTTTGTTTTTAACATCAACAGTTGCTTAAAATCACAGCTTTTTGAACGTTTTATTCTTTACTGAACATCACGTTAAGTGTCTTGATTCACAGATTTACCGGCAAAATTAAAAAGATTTGGCTAAAATATGTCTACAGAAGAAATAATCCCAGCTATTAAGTAACTTTTTACATTTGGCATCTGATCTAGTCACAGGTCATCAGAAAAGAAAGAGGTTCTTTGATCACTTGAAGCAGTAGGTGGCATCCTATACGTTCCTAATGAACAATTGCATTTACAACGTCAGGAGAGATCAGTTTATGATTTTCATATTTATTAACACAAAATAAAAATAAAATATTTTGTTACATAATTAAGTGCAATTAGGCCAGTCAGAACAACATATAAACCTGAAAGCACCAAGCTTTTTTTTTTCTTTACACATATTTTGTCGGTGCATAATCCTTTCCAGCAAACTGAAAAGAAATACTTCAGAAGTCCTTTTTAATTTTACTTTGATTTATATTTTCTGCAGTTATAGAATAAACTTCAAGAAACACACGCAGCTAATATATAGTTAATTTTATTCAGAGCACCGATTTTCACATAAGAGCTATCTCAAAGTAATGATTTCTGAATTTAGCAGAAAAATACATCTCTCACTATTTTTATTTTTTGGTAGAATTAGTATTTGTCTAACGGCTATACCTTGAATTTATCAGCCGTGCCTCAGAAATAAACAAACAAACAAACAAAAAGATGCACCAAATATAAATTATTCTGTTTTCATGTTTGTTTTATTTGTAAGTGTGCTGGGACTTATCTCCCTGTTGTATTTTGTGTTACAGAAATATTTCTGAAAGAAATAAAAGTAATATAGTAAAGACACAACCAAGGAGAAAGCTCAGCAAACATACATGGACAGGCAGATAATTCAGTGAGACATTTCAGGATCCACACGTGGTTGCAGTTTGTATCCATTTTTTGTGTATGTGTGTGTTGCATTAACGAAAATATTTACAATCATCTTCCTTTTTAAAAAAATCTAAATACAAGAACGTGACAAGAATGTTTGTGTTTTCGGTGAAAACAGGCAGTAAACTGTGAAATTACACCATCCACAAAAGGTTCTACCAGAAGCTACTCTATTTTTAGTGCTCAGTTTCAAAATGCATAGAATGTTTGCGCTGCAAACAATGATACACAAAATAATTAAATAAATAATCAAATAAATAAATAAATAAATAAATAATAGCGAGACCTTATCACGGATCTTTCTGTGCCTTTTTTAGGTCATGCATGATTTCAGTCTTTGTTTGTTTGTTTTAAACAGCAGGGCGTTTTCTTTTCAGAAATGCCTTGTTTTTAAAGCCTTTCCAATAACACCAGACCCAGTGAATGTCTTTTGCACACAGCTGGTATTTTATCCAACGAGCTCTGGCCATTCCCCCTCCCGTCTCTTCCCCCCCTCCCCCCATCCCCGAGATATAATGCACCTTTATCTTTAATAATACGGAATAATTGCTTTGCTTTCCAATTTGGGAGACTGTGATAGTGCAAATGTAACCATACAAAACAATTCCTCTACCTAACGTTTATTATTTACAATAAACGATTTTTAAACCCAAATGTTTTCCCCCTCAACATGCAGACCCCGCAGAAATAAATGTCGTTTCAAATCCTGCCTCTTTACATTGGTGATTTCGCTTACCTACTTATGTAAAATAAACCCTGTTACTAACAGGAAACCTTCTACCACCGCAATCCTCTAAACCTCTCCAACAGATTTGGAAGAGATGCCAGAGGGGAAGGACACATTTAACCCCGAGACTTAATGACTCAGAGCATGTTTTCTTCTAACGTTAACAGGGCAGCCAGGGCAGTATAACAGCTAACGTATGCATTGTATCTCTAGCTAGATGTATCTCTATAGAGATATGGATCTCTCTCTAGATATAAACACAAAGCACACACAGGGAGGAAAAGGAACAAAGGGGCAAGTAACTTTTTATATAGCTAGTTATAAAAATGGTTGGCTTCCCTAGCAGAGGGAGGGCAGAATAAAGGGAAAATTTCCCGGAGTATAAAGCCTGTGACTGAGCATTCACTCTCTGCTCTTAGCTAGCTAGTGTTAATGAAACAAGGGTCAGAATCTCTCCCCCTCCCCGCTCACCCCCCAAGGCATCCGAACCGAACTGGGAACTGCAAAAACATCCCTCTCCAAACCCCCAGTAACACAGAAAAGAACCATCACGAAGCCTCATTAAAACATAGTTAAAAACAAAAGATCAAAAAGAGACCCAAACAAAAACAATGAGCATCATCACCAATAGTTTCACCTTCTGGGGTTGTGTTTTTTTTCCTTTTAAAATTGGTGACTCAGGGTTTTTTTAAATGTATTTATTTGTAAGTTTTGTGTGTGTCTCTGTGTGTTTACGCTTGAGTTGTTCTCGCTCTCTCTTCCTGTAAAGGGGGCGATCAGCCTGCAGAAGTGCCCCCCATGGATTTCTAGAGCATTTACTTTTGCTCTTGTTGTTGTTCTCGTTTCTTTCCCTTTAGAAGTTTGTTGTTGTTTTTTTCTCCCCCCTACATTGTTCCTTGGTCCCCAGGAGATTTTGAGAGTGTCTCTGGTCAAACAAGAAGTCCACTGGCTCCTCTAGCCCCCTCGCCCCTTCCACAATCTCCCCTCCCACTCGCACCCCCCCCCAATCTCCCTCCCTTCACTCCCAGCCCCCCAACAGCTCCCCCCTCGGTCCCCTCCCTTCTTCCACACTCCAGGGGATGGAAACTTGGCGCGTTGGTTTTGTTGGCTTGTTTAGTAGGTGGCGGAAAATTTCATCCTTTTTTGCTTCTGTCTCTGGTTGCAAAACCAAACCCGCACTACGTTCTTTTTCAGGTCCAATTTCTCGGCGATGGCGGCGATCTTCTCGGAGGAGGGCCGGGGCTGCACGGCGAAGTACGCCTCCAGGGAGCGCTTCTCCGGGGCGGCGATGGAAGTCCGCTTGCGCTTCTTCTCGCCCCCGTTGAAGAGCTCGGGCTTGTTCATTTTCTCGCGCTGGGCGCCCTCGGCCTCCTCCAGCCAGGCCTGCAGGATGGGCTTGAGCGCGATCATGTTGTTGTGGGACAGGGTGAGCGACTCGAAGCGGCAGATGGTGCTCTGGCTCAGCGAGCCCACGCCGGGGATCTTCAGGTTGGCCAGGGCCGAGCCCACGTCGGCCTGGGTCACGCCCAGCTTGATCCGCCGCTGCTTGAAGCGCTCGGCGAAGGCCTCCAGCTCGCGGGGGTCCGTGTCCGAGTCGCAGATGGAGGCCAGGCCGGCAGCCCCCACCACCGCCGAGGCCACCTGCCCCGCCGCGCCGTGGTGAGCGGCCACCAGCCCCGGGTGGGGCAGGCCCGAGGGCATGTTCATGGCGGCCGGGTGCGACAGGTGGCCCAGGCCGTGCATGTGCGAGTGGGGATGGGCCGAGGTGGAGATCAAGCCCCCCCCGCCGCCGCCTCCGCCGCCTCCCCCTCCTCCTCCTCCGCCGCCGCCTCCGCCCCCGCCGGCCCCTTCGTGCCCCCCGCCGCCGGCCATGAGCGCCAGCGACGGGGAGGTGATGTGGTCCAGCAGGTCCCCGGGCTCCAGCGCCTGGTGGTGATGGTGGTGGTGGTGGTGGTGGTGCGCCAGCGGCACGGTGGAGGTGGAGGTGCACGGCACGCTGTTCATGGTGTGGTAGGTGGCGTCCGGCTTGAACGGGTGGCTCTTGCCCTGGGACACGGCGATGTCGACGGCCGCCAGAGCCTCGGCCCGGGCCAGCAGGGTCTCATCCAGGCTGGCGAAGATATTGCTCTGCAACTGCAATCGACACAAAGGGGGGGGAGCATAGGGGGGCAGAAAGGAGAGTGGGGTGGGAGAGAGACGCGGGAGGGGGGTAATAAAAGGGCAAACGCCGGGGAGAGAGGCGAGGAGAATTGGGGCAGAGAGAAGAGAGTAAAGTGGAGATGGGGAAAGCAGGGGCAGATGGGGGGATATAGTGGGGGAGACAGGGCAGGAGGGAACGGAAAGGGGGGAGCAAGCCAGGGAGGGAGGGAGAAGAGAGAATCACAGGGGAGCCAAAGGAGAGGGGGAGCGAGGGAATGGGGGAGCCGAGAGAGGGGCGAATACCAGGGAGAGAGCAAGGAGTGGAAGAGAAAATAAAGAGAGGAGGAAGGTGGGAAGAAAGAGAGCAGGAAGCAGGGCAAGGAGTGGAGGAGAGCAGCAAAGGAGGGAGCAGGGAGAGGAGGGAACCAGAAAGCGGGGGAAAGTGAAAGAGAGGAGCGGGGGGCAAAGAAAAAGAAAAGAAAGGAGAAGAAGAAATGGATATGTAACTCTCAGCTGGGGAATTGTGTCAAACACCAGCGCGCATAAAGAACATTCCTTTCAGAGGCCGAGTCATAAAAATTAATACCGAAAGTGGAGGAAGTCGGAGACTCGTGTGAACACCGCTTTCAAAAAAGATCACAGGCGCTCAGATGATTGCAGAGGAGGACATGAAAAAAACATTAAGCGCCGCTTGTCAAAATGTGCCTCGCAGCGGTTTTTTTATTAATGCACATACATGCAGTATACAGGGGAGAGAGAGAGAGAGAGAGAGAGAGAGAGAGAGAGAGAGAGAGAGAGAGAGATGCAGCGGCTTGCCCCTTACCGGTGGAGTTGGTAGACAGGCTCTTCTTATTGCTTCCGAGCTGGAGTGCAGCGAGGGGTACTTGTGTTCAGGTAGGGTGGGATGCATGGCAAAATGCGGCTGTTTGCTGTTCATGGACATCATCTTGAAGGCTTGGCATGTAAATCCACAAACACTCCTGAAGTAAGGGGAAAAGTGCTCTCCGGGCGCTCTCCGGGATGAGGGTGCAGCGGCAGATCCCACTGCTAGTGCCGCTGTTTCTTGGAGCTCCCTTTGACCGCACAGTGAGACTCCCTCCAGCCCTCTCGGTCTCACTTATCTGTCTGCTCTATCCTAGCGCTGGGCTGAGATGCGCTCTGCTTACACCTGAGCCCCACATCTCGTGGCTACGGCCCCGCAGACTCTCGCGAGAGCTTGGAGCTACGGCTTTGATAGACATCAGCTGTCTCCCCCTGCCTCCTCCTCCCCCCCTCCCGCTCTCTCCCTCCCTGCGCCTTGTTGCATCTCCTTGCGCGTTTGCACGTCTAGCCGGTGCCGGAGTTTGAGAGCTGCTCTTATAATGACCACCAGAAAGGACAGTGCAGGTGCTACACCTGTAGCTGCAACACATGCGCATTGCTCGCCTTTCTAATCGGACACAGAGACAACAACGTGCGCATCTATGTATTATGTGCCTGCATGTCCATCCGCGTATAATATACGTACATGTATACATGACCAGATCTTACATGTAATACAATGCAGTGTGCATGTCTCTATGGCTGTCTCTGAGTTTGTGCATGCTTAGGTGCTGGTACCTTTAATGTACAGATCTGATTTTGTACTTGGCTTGTACATGGTGTCTAATTACATATAGTTATCATTATTTAAAATAATAACTGGATTCTAGCGAAAGAGATGTTCATTTCCTGTGCTCCTGTGTAGTCCTTCAGAGAGACGTGTGTGTCTCTGTGTTGAGGACTCTCAACACAGAAAGTGACAGTTTTCCAGCGTAAGCCTGTTACTTTTAAGAATTCTAAATAAGCTCCTTGAGAATAATCATTGTGACAGACATTGGTTTGAAGCAGTCAGAGTCTATTGATTTCCATATAATTTCATTTCTCCCCATCTAGTTTTGTTGCAAATATTATTGTGTCAGGCACCGCTAGTGACAGCCACTTAGCCCACAAGAAGCATGTGCTTTCTACATGGGGAACACTGTTGAAATGAAATTGTGCATTTCCTTTTTTGCAGCCTGTAAAATCTCTCTTCTTTAATCGTGTGAAAACCCACCTCTCACTCCGGCATGACTTGAAGCATAAAATAATCACAAAGCCTTTTTATTTTTAAAACTACGGGTAGTTTGGTTCTTTTTATGAAGAGAGAACACAGGGAAACTAGTCTGAATCGCCTTCATAGACATTACTGCAGAAAGGAAAAGGAGGAAGAGGCTGGAAAATAACATTGTTGAAATGCTTTTTTGTCCGTGTTTCTCCCCAGTTTTATTGTTGCATTTAAATGAAACGGTTAGGAAAAAAGAATAGAATAATGATTCGCAAATATATTGATGACTAATATTTTGGGTTATGGACCGATCTTTTTTAGAGTGGAATTCTTAAGTTAACTATACGTAGTTAAAACGGGTGGCAGCCAAACCCTTTAATTAACCAACCTGTAAATTTGTCTCTCACTTTTATGATCAACAACTGGGATTAATTTGAATCCGAAGGGAACAACACAGGTGAAGCTAGTCCATTGGGGCACTCTAATGATAACCCTGGGTGATAGCCCAGATGTTATCACGTCTGCTCCAGGAGTGCTAAGACAGGCACCAGGAAAAAGCAGGCGGGTGTTTGTTTGATGCAGTGATCTGATAACCGATCTGCCATGTGTCACCCTTAAAGAGTGCCGGAATAGCTGTATCTCTCATGCACTGAGATTCGTCTATGTACATATATACATATTCGTATACTATGCATATACATATACCCCCGTCAAACATACACACAGAGTACATATTAAAATCCCAAGTAAAGTCCATATTTGTCATCATATGGCTTTCTCCAGTTTCTCATCCAGCCCCAGAAGAAAGAAAGAAAGAAAGAAAGAAAGAAAGAAAGAAAGAAAGAAAGATGTTCAATTACTTGTGCGAGAGAGAGCCGGTCTCCATCCATTATTGTGTCCCCAGGGATTGCTGAATGCAACTTTATCTAGGAGGGGGATGAACTAGAAACTGGCACATTCTGGTTTTAAGGGGGGAAACTTGTATCGAAAACATTGTTTAAGAGGAACAATATAATAACGAACATGCTTTTATTAACAATTCATGATTTACCCTAGCTTTTTGAGCTGCCATGTTTTGTAAATTGAAGATCAGCAAATGGGGAAATGGTGCATTTGATACATTGTTTTGAAGTGAGACGCGTATGGAAAATGCGTGCTGGAGCCTGATGCAAAACAACCCACATTCCTTTGCTAATAGAATAGATATAACGGTAAACCAATCAGCCACACAAAGACAATGGGCTTCTCACCTGACACTGAAGATGGAGACACTCAGAGCTGGACAAATTTATCTGGTTAGCCAGAACGCTGGCCAAGTAAACTCACCAGTGTACATCGGTAGAGGAAACGCTCAGTGTAAATGAAGATTGTTCAAGTGATGATAAAAGAAGGAGAAAAGGACATGTTTTGTCTATGGATTATTCCATGGACTTTCTTTTTCCCCTTCTCGCAAGCCAAGATATATAGCATGTTCTCCAGATAGCTCATTAGTGACAAACAGAGCTAGATATGTTTGTCCCACACGTGTTTAGTAGTTCTATTTCTTATACTCATCACCTACAGTGGCTTTTTTAAGGGCGTGCGGGAGAAAGGAGAGAACCTGTGCCTAGAGGAAGGTGGTGGTGGCCGTTAGGAACTGGCATACCAGGAGAGAGTGCACTAGAAATAATGAAATCTGTACGTGAGCCAGAGTCACGCACTCTTCTCTCTCTTTTCTCTTTGGCTACCAATTCTGAGGCTGCTCATCACACCACGGATTCTGGGCTCCTGGTTGTAAACCCTTAACTTCTTACCTCTACAGCAGCCTTCCGTGAGCGTTCGACCATTAGTCAGAAGGCCCGTAGTGTTATTAATAATATCACTCTTCGGTTTTGGCTGGTTGGGAAATACTGACATATGGTAGCGATTGCACCACTTCTAGATGGCGCCTGCATTATAGACAGGCCAACTTGGGTTGCCACAAACCAAGTTTATTCACAGTTATAAGTAGAGAATATAGCCTTGGGCATATCTGCCCTGGGTGAAAAGGCATACAGGACACGTTGATTTGGGGCAGCTTTTGCTTTAAAGTTTACCAGGTGGACCAGCAACTCATGTTCCTTTTGGTCCATTTTTTCCCTTTACTTCGGAAAGCTCAGCCTTGACTCTTTCTTCCTGCAACTTCATCATCTCACTCTGAGATTTAGCCCCAGAGGAATATTATTAAGGGTTTTACTGTTAGGACTGGCTTTGGAACTACTGTTTCTACCAGCACACGTAACATCTGTTCGAAGCCCAATAATTTCTGTTCTTCCTGTTACAGGTCTTCCTGGAGCGGTAACAACCTAGCGCAGGAACGGGGGAAACGGACAGTATGTCCTGTTGGTTTACTCAGATTGGCAAGCACCAGTGGAAGTACAACTTCTACCTGGCTGTAGATGCATTGCAGGCTAGTTATAGTGCACTCTTTTGTTACAAATAGTCTTGGGCATATTTATTGTGCAAAAATCCCATGCAGTAGGTGGGGAGTGTGTTATGAGCGAAGATCTCGCAGGTACTTGACATCATGTTTTTCAGGAGCTTTTTTGTGCTGGACAGTTCCCCGTTGATACGGGACCCCATGCTGCCTCATGCCCCATTACTCAGTTTGATAGTTCCAGAATCTGTAAAAGACAATTGAATTTAGGGCTTATCCCCCGGCCCTGCCTGCTAATGTACATTCGGTAACATGGGTTTGGATAATGTTCTGTGGCCAGCTTTTTGTCCTACCCTTCTTTTTATTATGTTGGAGTCTTCAGGCATTGAACTTAGTTTCAAAGTTTAAGACTCAATCAACTCTTTCTTCTCTGATCTCTTCCTAACAGAGGCCAAGACCGGGAGTGGAAGGTAGAGAGAGGCGAGACTTTCACATTTGTTTTAGTCTCAGCAATTATTTGTCTCCGTGGCTCCTCGGGTATAATAATAAAACAAATGGCTGAATCAAAAGATAAATCAAGCCTCTGGACACTTTTGTGAAGAGTGGGGCGGGGGTGGAGGTAGGGGAGAAAGAGAGCACGTTTCAAAGGGATGGTTTTAAACCACAATCCTCTTTCGGTCCCTCAGATACTTTTAAAAAGAGAAAGCCTAAAATGAGCCCGATCCTGCTTCCACTGAGATAAATGGCAAAACTACCATTTTTTTTCAATGGGCGCAGGATCCAGCCGACTGTGGCGTTATGCACTTCAGATTTCACTCCTCTCTCTGCTGGCTTTGTGAACAAATACGTCTAGGTTGAGTTGTTGCTCAGTCCTCAGTGCACCTCTTTCTCTTCTTCGTTTTCCAGTTTCTCTGACAGTCACCAATATAGCCCCAGGCTACTCCTGCAAATATACATACCTGTCCACACAAAAAGTCAGTCAGTCTCTCTCTCTCTCTCAGATCGCAGAGGTATGGACATCTTACGGGCCTGGCAGTATCTTTTATTTTAATATTCGCTGTTATTCCTATTCCTAGTGGGTACTTCCATTCTCATGAATACTGATGGTAATAAACTTGCAAGCTCCGAGCATGAGTTCATTGGAGATATGACCATGCTGTAGTTCCACTTTTATGGGCAAACATACTCGATAAAGGGACGCATATCTATCTATCTATATCTATCTATCTATGCATTTACTTGTCTCCGGTAGTTTTCTCCTGTTTCAAATGTAAGAAATAGGCAGATTTCCTTAATTGACTGCACTGCCTATCCCGAGAGCTAATAAAGTAAATCCCTTATTCCCACAGTAAAACGATTTATAAATTAATTACTGTAACCCATTGTATTTGATTTCCCTTTTTAGGATTCCCAAAAGATGAATATACTAAAGCTTGGGATATTATGCTCTTACGTCTCATCATACTTTGCTATATATTCTGACTTTGAAAAAAAGTCATTTAGGGGTTTATTGAGCAGCCTGTATTAATTTCTGATGTAGTTTTACTTCAAGAATTAGATTGACTTTTTAT